TCAATTCAATTCAAGGTGCTTTATTAGCATGACCGATGGGTACAATCAGTGTTGCCAAAGCAAATAAAAATAATAAAATTAACATAGAACAAAACAAAAAATAGAAGTAAAATAAAATCTACAGACATGTTACAGACATTTACAACAAAGACATATTCTCTCTCTCTCTCCCTCTCCCTCTCCCTCTCCCTCTCCCTCTCCCTCTCTCCCTCTCTCTCTCTAGGAGGAGTTTGATGACTTGGTCATCAACGGCCATCGAGTGCTGTAATCGTGAAGGTCCCTACGGAGACACGCCCCCAAATCCCATGTCTGCAGACTCATTCCAGCCCTTCCTCCCATGGGCTTGGCTAGCTGCGTGCCCACCGTGTGCAGACGCCTGTGCGAGTGACTGTGTGTGTGTGTGCGTGCTGTCGTGCTGTCGAGGGCGGGGGAGCATCACCTTTCCAGGGGCTGAGCTCCAGCCCCCGGCCGGCTGAGAAGATTGGGCCTCAGCCGTGTGAGGAAAGGCGATGTCGTCGTGCCCCTCTCCTTAGTGTCTTAATACTGCTGCGGTCTGGGAGAGATCGCGGGTCCCTCCGTCTCCCGCTGTCAGAGAGTCTCCCGAGCTCCCGCAGACAGCAGTGGCTTGCAGCGCCCCCTACAGGCTGGTTGCCGTCCTCATTATGGCACGCAGGCTGCTGCAGCTGGGCCGGCCAGTGGGAGCGCTTTGCGAACCTAGCGCTGTCATTATTTTTTTCCAATTTGGATGTTTCAAGCATATCCTGCGTGAACAAGTTAGGGTTCCCCCTTGCGTGTCCCCTGTACATAACCACGGTTCCACCCTCCCCGTGGCTCGGGGGGGACGGGGACAGCCTATGCAGTCATGCGGGGCTGGGGCTCGGCCCAGGCGGGCTCCTTCCCTGACAGGCGGCTGGGGCAGCTGCTGTTCTGTTGCTAATCTTCCCCAGCTGGTTTCGCGGCAGTCTGTGCCCTGCCGAGTAACCAGTTTAGTACCGATCGCCCAGGACTGTAACAGTAAAGGGAACCTGTCGTGAGATTAATACGTAAAGACTCCTAGAGGAAAGTGTGTGCGTGTGTGTATGACCAAAAAATGTGTGCTGCAGTTTCCTGTCTCTGTTAAGGGAAGTTAGGATGTGCTGCTCTTAACAGTGTAACATGTTGCGGGAGACACACTGTTTGACACGCAGTCTGGGTACCCAGGGACTCAGTCTGGCACTTGGCACTGTATCACAGGATGGCACAGGTACTGGGTGTACTGGGTGCACTGGTACTGGGTGTTACGGATGCTTAGCGTTCTGCACTCGGGACTGGAAGGCTGTGGGTTCAAATCCCAGATGAAACACGTCACCCAGCGGTATAAATGTGTGCAGGTGTAAGTCGCTTTAGCTTTTTAATAATACGACATTTCAAGCGAACACTGGTAATGCCGTGAACTCTTCAGGCCAAGGGGTAAGAGGTGGGCGCGCAGGAGTGGCGGCACCCCACTGCCTTTTTTGTGTTTGTGAAGGAAATGAGCCACAAACATGAAAAATAACCGCATGCACGAGCTCTTTCCCTTTCTGGCTAAAGGTGCCCTTTAAGATTCCTTGACGATATCGAGAGGATCGGTATGTCCAGGTAAATATGGGACTTCTGATTACGTGACGCGAGTTGGAAACTCCCGGTGCTGTGCGCGTGTGTCATGCAGGTGTGGGGCCCTGTTGTTCCTGG